GTCCTCATTTCACCAACCTCGGAAGGATGGAAGGCTGAGTCAACCTTGAGCCGGTGAGATTAGAACCGCTGAACTGCAGATAACAGTCAGCTGAAGTGGCCTGCAGTTATACACCCTAACCACTGGGCCACCTCGGCTCTTTTTTTTCTAGGAGAGGGGTGGGTGCTAACTTCCTACACATATTTCAGGAGAAACTAAGCTTGTTTGCTATTTTAGGACTTCTGAATTGTTCCTTATCTTATAAAAGATATCGCATTACTCTAGATTTTGAGTGTTTTCTTAATGGTCTTTTGCGTTATAGTCTTTGTTTTTAGTTTAAAATCTGGATTTAAAAAAAGTAAACTGGCTTTAAAATGAAAAAAGGCTATCTAATAACAAACTATTATTGCTCTTTTCACACAGAGTTCAGGGCAAAGTAAAATGTTTTCCTTCCTCAGAAGACTTGAGGACCAGTGGCAATTTGGAGATCTTAAGCACTACATGATGTCTGTCAACTTGCTGAATTTAATAAGTTGTAAGTGAGACAGGGGATGCTGTACCCATTGAACAGGGTTGAAACACATAGTCCGACACTGGCATTTTATTCATCCTGTTAGGGTTAGCATAGAGTACAAGTCTTGTTCTACATTGCGAAGTTGTGTCCGACCCATTGTGACCCCATAGACAATGTTCCTCCAGGCTTTCTTGTCCTCTACCATCCCCCAGAGTCCATTTAAGCTCACGCATACTGCTTCGGTGACTCCATCCACCTCATTCTCTGTTGTCCACTTCTTCTTTTGCCCTCAGTCTTTCCCAGCATTAGACTCTTCTCCTTCCTTCTCATTCGGTGACCAAAGTATTTGAGTTTCATCTTCAGGATATGGCCTTCTAAACAGCAGTCAGGGTTGATCTCCTCTAGGACTGACCAGTTGGATCGCCTTGCAGTCCAAGGGACTTGCAGGATCTTCTCCAGCACCAGAGTTCAAAGACCTCCATTCTTTGGCACTCAGCCTTTCTTATGGTCCAACTTTCACAGCCATACATTGCAACTGGGAAAACCACAGCCTTGACTATACAAGAGTACAAGTAGTCCTCGATTTACAGCAACTTTTTTTTTTTGCAGGAAGAAACTGTTGGAGCATTGCTTTGATCAATATTGGTTGGTGAAGCTCTTCAAAGGCGATGTCAACGACTCTTTCGGGTAAGTCATGCTTCCAAAATACTTTATTACAACAGGTATATCTGTTACTGGATATAATGATTGACAAGTTTCGTCATCATGGAGCATGTCTTTCTTTAGAGCTACTTTGGAGGCTTGGTTGGAGCAAGCATAAGAGAAAGAGAAAGCATGACAATTCCTTGCATTGAATCCAGGGTGTATTAATTTTCCACCAAATGGAAAACAAAACGTTGCAATTTCCCCCTACTTCAGTGCTGCAGGAGGAGCTGGCATCTGTTGACGATGAACTGCAGGCATTGGAAATCCAGATTCAAGAACTTCTTGAACATCAGCAACAACTCATTCAAAAGAAGGCCACCTTGAAGAAGAAAATAAGACAGTTTTCCGACACGGAAAGCGGGAGCAGCAAAGAGGCTGATTCAGCAACCGAGGACTGGAAAAAAGAAGGTCTTGCAAGTTCAGAATCTTTATTATGTTGACGTTTAAGTCAAACAATGACCTAAACTACATTACATTCAATATTCAAAAGATGTCCACTGCTATTAAATGCAAAGGCTGTCCATTTTTATGTTCGTCTCTTTTTCAGTTAAATTGGGGTGAAAGCAGCATATGTCCTCTACTGCATGCTCTCCATAATCCTTCTTCATGCAGAGTTCCCGCTCATGTTGCTTCAGATGAATTTAAATTTGGGGAAGATTCTTCACTGCTATATTAAGCAGTTTGACGTGCAAATAACCACCAGTTTGATGTTCAATTAGATCAGGGGTGTCAAACTCGATTTTCTTGAGGGCTGCATCAGGGTTGTGTTTGATCTTAGGGGGCGTGGCCAGCTCAACGTCACTTTAAAGTTTAAAAGTTGTTTTTAAATGTTCTTTTCACAGACTTTCCATGGTCCACAAAGATTAGGGCTGTGTTACAAAAAAGCTTTGGCCTCCAGGAATTTAGGCCCTTGCAGCTGGAGACAATTAATGCAACCATGGCAGGCAGAGATGTGTTCCTTGTCATGCCTACTGGAGGGGGAAAGAGCCTGTGTTATCAGTTGCCAGCAGAAGGATCTCAGGGTAAGGACCTGTGCTTTGCAACTCCAGCAACTGTTGCTGGTTCAAGCCAGTAAGAAGTAATGGATTCATACTGCATAATGTTCTAACAGCCTTTTCCAGCCTAATGCTCTTTAGACCAGTTAGGACAAACAGAGAGGAAAACCTTTTCCTTCCAAATAATTCAATCTGCTGATAAAGATTGGGGTTAAGCAATTCTAGTGCAACAAGCCACCTAAATAGTGCCCCCACCCCAGCACAACTTTTGGCACTAGATATCGGTTCTGTGGAGGGAGGGTTTTCCATGGACCAGGAGCGGGCGTGGTTTCATGTGCTGCTGCATCCCATGGATGGGGTTTCATTTTGTCAGGATTCCAAATAGCATCCAAAAGTAAATCAGAGTCAAAGGCAAAGTATTGCTCAAAGTTCTAATTTATTAAGAGAGCCATGTTGGCACATCTGGGGGGAAACCCGAATCTGAAAGCTTTCCGGTTTTCCCCACCCAGTTGAAAGTTCAAGATTTTGCCCCCACACCCACACGTCCATCCAATGGTCCAATCTCCCACTGCCATGCTGGCAGTTCCACCCATCCAGTTCCGGCCAGGTGCAG